AAGTGAAGAGGACTTGAAGCACTTACTGATGAAGATCAAAGACTACAGCCTTCAGTATGGACTACATCTCAACATAAAGAAAACAAGAATCCTTACAACTGGGCCAATAAGCAACATCCTGATAAACGGAGAAAAGATTGAAGTTGTCAAGGATTTCATTTTACTTGGATCCACAATCAACACCCACGGAAGCAGCAGTCAAGAAATCAAACGACGCATCGCATGGGGCAAATCTGCTGCAAAAAAGTGTTAAAAAGCAAAGCTGTCACTCTGAGGACTAAAGTGCTTCTGACCCAAGCCACAGTATTTTCAATCGCCTCCTATGCATGTGAAAGCTGGACGATGAATAAGGAAGACTGAAGAAGAATTGATGCCTTTGAATGATGGTGTTGGTGAAGAATATTGCATGTACCATGGACTGATAGAAAAATGAACGAATGTGTCTTGGGAGAAGTCCAGCCAGACTGCTCCTTAGAAGCAAGGATGGCGAGACTTCATCTCATGTACTTTGGACATGTTATCAGGAGGGATCAGTCCCTGGAGAAGGATGGTGCAGGACCAGGCAGTGTTTTGTTCCGTTGTACGTAGGGTCGCTACACAGGGTCAATGGTACCTAACAACAGCCCTCACCTCTGCCCCCACCAGGGTCCTCGCCCAACCCTCTTCTCTTCCCTCGAGTGTCAGGTCCCACATCCCCAGGCAGATGCCCCAGCAGCCCAGCGGCCCAGCTCCGTGTGGATGCCCAGTGTCCGTCTCCCTTCCTGCCTGTCTCCCCGCTTCAGGGGCCAGCCTGTTGGCATCTGTGTCCCTGTGCCCACCACGGGGCTGGCATGGAGCCAGGGCTCAGGGGCTGCGTCCTGAGGACAAGGAGGCTTCCCTGGGCGTAGGGGGGACACTCAGGTGTGTGACAGCCAGAATAGACCTGGGGGGCTGCTAATTACAACCACAAGTGTGGGGTTCCGACTGACACTCCAAGTCTGTGAGGGAGGTGGGCTGCATCTCCCCGGGAGCATGCTCCTCTCCCCTGGTTCCTTACGTCACAGCAGGGGGCCCAGAGGAGCCAGCCCTGCGGACACGCCTTGTCCTCCAGCTTCACCCCCTTGCTCAGCTCGTCATTCTCCGGGAAAGCCTGTGTGGGCCAGTGACAGGCCCGGGGCAGCCCCACCGCCTGGGAAGGCCTAGGTTCCGGCCCCACAGGTGCCCTCGTCCCCAGGTGGCCAGTGAGCAAGCCTCACCCACGAGGGGTCCTGGGTTAGACGCACGGAGCTCCTGGCTCCCCAGCAGCGTCTGGTGAAAGTGGGCCCAGTGCAGGGCGCGTGGGGCTCCACTAGCCCTGAGCCAGGCGGGGGGGCTAGACTGTGCATCCACCAGGCTTGGACTGGCCTCACCCACTTCATGAAGGTGTCCCTCTTGAAGGCTGCCTTGTCACCCTGTCACCTCCTCAGCCTCGACATTGTCATCTGTGAAGTGGGGTTAGCATTCATACTCATCATACAACAGCAGCTGCCGGTCTGAGGGGTGAGGGATCCCTTTACCTGCACCTACCCGTGTTCTCATTTAATCCTCACGATACCCCCAGGAAGGGAGGTGCCTGCTGTGGGGTGAGTGTGTCCCCCCAAAAAACGTGGAAGTCCTAACCCTGGTACCCGTGAACGTGACTTGTTTGGAAATAGGGTCTTTGCAGATGTTACCAGTGAGGTCCACATGAGGTCTCACTGGAGCAAGGTGGTCCTAATCCCACAGGAGTGGGGTCCTCACAGAGGAGGGGAAGATGCCCGTGACGACAAGGTGGGGACTGGAGTGAAGCTGCCGTGAGCGCAGGACACCGAGGATGGCTCGGAGCTGCCGGAAGCTGGAGGAGACATAGTTCCTCCCTGGAGCCTTTGGAGATGCCCCCACTTGGACTCTCGGCTTCCCGAGCTGAGAGACAACAAATTCCTGTGCTGGGGACCCTCCAGTGCATGGTGCTTCATGACAGCGGCCCCAGGGCCCTCACCCATCATCACTGAGCCCATTTCATAGCTGTGGAGCCTCACCTGCTGGCGTCACACAGGTAAGGGCCACAGGTGGGATATGAAGTGGCCAGTCTGAGTGCGGCACTCGAGCACTGACCCTCAGTGTGGGCACACCTGGCCCATGCCTCAGCTGCCCCAACTCCCCACCCCGCCCAGCCCTGGAGGCCACACCCCGGTGGTCGGCCCCACGTGCCGATGGCTCCTGGCCCCCAGCTCCGGCAGGAGGACTAACTCTCCCCTGCACTGCTCTATCCTGTGTCTCATCTGCGCTTCACTCCAGCTTTGCTAACCCTGAGAGGTCCGGAACCCCCACTTCAGACAGGCTCGAGGGTCCCAGGGCTCACAGAGGGGTCACACCAAGACCCAGCAAGGTCTATCCGGCGTGCACGAGGCTGTGTATGCCTGGGCCAGGACCTGGAGTGGAGGGCTGGGTCCATATCGTCCACTGGAACTTTCTGGCCAGTGTCCTGGGTCACGTCCCTAGTCTCCATTTTGTTGATGGGGGTGGTGACCTCAGTGCGGCTGGCTGGGCAGGGGTGCTGAGCTCAGCACTTGTCCTGCCTGCCTGTGGGGCCCTCCCACAGGCTGCGGGTGGGTGCCTGTTGGAGGCCAGACCATCCCAAGGGGCCAACGTGCAGCCTTCCATTCCTGGTTCTGTTCCTGCTTCTTGTCCAGCAGCCCCTCGGGACAAGGTCGCTGAGTCCAGAGTGGAGTGAGGGCAGGGGGACCGCAGGAGCAGTGGGGCTCTGTAAACCCTGGGGTAGTGTGGTATTGTCGTTGCTGGTCACCACTCACAGAATTCCTGCGGTCAGACCTCCGTGGCCGACAAGTGCCCCCAGTCCCTACGACTCCCAGACTCCACTTCTGCTCCACCCCAGCCCCCAACATCTCTGGAGGGTCTTTAGAAAGTGAAACGGAGAGACTAGGCTTAGATCAGCTTCACCCCCGCACCCCCACTCCCCGGTGCTGCAGCCACAGCCTGCCCAGCTAGTCCGCGCGCCTGTCCCGGAGCGCCCCGTACCTGCTCTCCGCCCTTTCCCGGCTGCCACTCCGCAGGGTCAGCTCCAGGCCGCCCGGCCCACAGGACGGCAGGCCCAGGTGGCCGCCCCGGGCTCTCTGGCTGGCCGGACAGGAGCGGCCGCCCACGGCCCAGCTGACTGCTGACTGCCGCCACCGCCCCTGCTTCCTGCCCCACTTCCTCCTGTGCCTGGGTTAGGCGGTAGACAGGCAGCCTGGCTTTGCTCCACTGCTGCCGCTGTGGGCCAGTTGATCATTAGCTCCTTCCTGGACTGGCTCCAGCTCTGCCCTGGCAGTGTGCCCACTGCCCAGCCCCCAGGTCCTGCGGTGGGGCCGGAGCCCAGAGGCTCCCGCCTTGGCACCAAGATTGGGGAAGTTCACCAGCTGCCAGCCCTCCGGCCCTGCCAACCTCAGTGCTGCTCTCTGTTAATCTTCCCTTACTGCACATACAGTGCACGTGTGCACACACAGAAACACGTGTGCACCGTGCACACACACACACGTGCCCTGTGCACACACACACACGTGCCCTGTGCACGCATACAGACATAGGCACTGTGCACACACAGACTCGTGCTGTGCACACACATGAACACGTGCACCGTGCACAGACACATACACATGTGTGCACACACAAACACATGCGTATACTGTGCAGACACACACATTTACACGTGCACACACACACAGGCACAGATCCACATGTGCATGCACGCACATACACGTGGGCGTGTGGACACGGGCACACCTGTGTGCACACAGACACACATGTACACACACAGGCGCACACGCCCAGTGGCCCAGTCAATAGAAACACGTATCGGGGAGGGGACTGCCTGTCCTCCTTGTCTGCCCCAAGCGCTCCGTCTGGGAAGCCTGGTAGAGGGGTCCACCTTCTCTCCTTCCCACTGGCCCGGCCTGGGTAGGAGAGCTTGAGGCCTAGGCCAGGTCTTGCCCTAGGTCACTGTGGTCCTGACTGCATCCCAGACAAGACTCATGAGCTGAGCGGGGGCCGGCCCCCACAGAACCGGCCCACCACCTGCTCTGCGCCCTCTCTGAGGTGGGGGGCCAGGGCAGCCCTGGGGGCCAAGACAGGGAGCTACCCTCGCTGTGTGCTGCGCTAGGCCAGGGCTTCACACTTGTGGCCCGGCTTAGCCCCAGGGACCATCTGGAGTTAAGCAGTAACGCGCGCATTTTACAGCAGGGAGACTGAGGCCCAGCGAGGTAAGAGCCATATTGCGTCCAACTAGAGATGAGCCGGAACCGTGCTGACGGTGCTGGGGCTTCAGGCCCGGCTTTCTCAGCCTCGGCACAGCTGCCGTTGGGGGCTGAGCGTCCTGTGGAGGGGCGTCCTGCACACTGCAGCTTGTCTAGCAGCACCCCAGCCCATTCCCGCGAGATGCAGGTGGACCCCCAGTGTGACAACCCAGCCTGTCTCCAAACATTAGTCCCCCGGGGGGCATTGTCACCCCGGCTGCCCCCCCCACCCCAGTCTGGGCTGAGCTGCTCGGGTAAATACCCTTCCCCCACCCTAGGGCGTGCACGCCCCCCTCCCCTCCCTGCCACCCCCCTCTATCACAGGGCTCACTGGGGAGCCTCCTTGTTCCTCAGCCCCACAGCAGTCTGAACAGCCACCCCCAAAGTCACATCCCCCAACAGGGCCAGATGGATGGGGAGCAGATGGAGTTGCTGGGGGTCCCCACTCCCATCCAAAGCCCACATCAAGGGCCCTCAATGATGCCTCAGGGGCCCCTGCCCTTCAGCTGGTCTCCCAGGGGTTGGAGGGCCTCAGCCAAGCTCCACGCCTCCCCATCCTGGCCCCTCTCCAAGTCCCCACCCCTCCCCACCCCACAGCACCCTGGAGACCAGGCTTTCCCTGCTCTTGCCCTTAAGGTGGGGGCTCCTCTGCACAGGCGTGTCTCCCCAAGTGACCTGCTACCTGCACCCCCATGCACCCGAGAGGCAGGTGCTCGAGCCCCACCCCCACAATGGCTCACAGAGGCCCCGATGCACCTGATGCCATCCCTCCTGCCACCATGGCCCCCCATCTCTCCCTGGCCTTCCAATCGATCACACCTCGGTGGGGAACACCCTGCACCTGAGGGTCACCTTCCTCATCTGTGTCCAGCCGGGCCTGACACGGGGGGTTCTCACTAACAGGCCGGCCACGCCCTCGTCCATCGGCACCGCCCTGACGGCCAGCTTTGCTGGAGACCTGCTGCACGGCATTCAGGCTTCAAGGGATGCCGGGCAGGGGCGGAGGGATCGGGGACCTTGCTCCAGGCCATTTGTCAGAGGACTGAATGAGATGGCTGGACACAGTGCAGCCACCTAGGACATACGTGTCCCCACACCTAACAAACACCAGTGTGCCAGGAGCCCTGGTGGCGCAGTGGTTAAAGCAATCGACTGCTAATCCAAAGGTTAGTGGTTCAAAACCACCAGCCGCTCTGCGGGAGAAAGATGTGGCAGTCTGCTTCCATAAAGATTACAGCCTTGGAAACCTACGGGGTCGCTACGAGTCGGAATTGGCAGCACGTTTTGGCTCCGGGCTATTTATCTGAGGCGCAGAGGTGGGACGTGCGTGTCCCCACGGCCTGCCTTCGGCATAGGTGACAACTGACAGGCAGGTGAGGGACAGCAGTGTCCCCAGAGGCTCAGCGCCTCCCCTGCCCAGCCCCTGACCCACCCACAGGCAGCCACACACAGGGCAAGGGGCCCGCTCCCCAGCTCAGGTGAAGCCTGGGGCTCCAGAGAGAAGTCAGAAACAGCCCCGGAGACCTGGCCTCCCTGACTGGCTGCATGGCCCCCAGCTTCAGCCTCCCCCTCCATGAGTGGGCTTGTGGGGTGTGTGTCCCCGACCCCAGCCTGTGCACAGCCTGGGGCTCTTGGTTGCCCACTCCCCAGAGCCCAGGCTGGGCAGGGCCCCAGGCAGGCTTGGCGCAACCACCATCTGTTTTTCTGGAAGCCGTGTTGACAGAAGCCCCTGCCGGGCTCATGTCCCTAAAAGGCCTGGAGACATTTCCTCTGCTTGCCATTGTCCCCCGCGGCGGCCCAGACCCCATATCCTGTTTGTCTTCTCTGCAGCTGGGCTCCTGGGCCAAGGGTGGGGGGTGTTTTCAACAGCCACCTCAGCTCTGCTCAGCGCGCCCCTGTGGCCTTCCAGAGAAAGGGGCATGGGCTGTTAGAACGGGGGCTTTCCAAGCTGGGGACCCTCCTGGGGGCCCTAGGGCCGGGGTGGAACCACACAGCCTACACACAAGGGGTGCAGTCCAACGCTGGCCTAGCCTGTGGCTCCTGGGAAGGTCTCGCATCCCGGGACTCAGTTTCCCCATCTTCCAAACAGTGGAGCAGGACTTGGAGATCTCCAAGTGCCTTCCTAGCTAGAGAGTTCAGTAATGGCTGCCCTACGTTTACACTGTCTCGGGCCGGGTCCTTTATTTTATTGTTTGAGTGAAAGTTTACAGCTCACATTAGTTTCTCATTCAAAAATCTATGCACAAATTGTTTCATGACATTGGTTGCAATCCCCACAATGTGTCAGCACTCTCCCCCTTTCCACCCCAGGTTCCCCGGGTCCACGCGTCCAGGTTTCCTGTCCCTTCCTGCCTTCTCGTCTTTGCTTTCGGGAAGGTGTTGCCCATTAGGTCGCCTGTACTTGAGTGAACTAAGAAGCACGTTCCTCACGAGTGTTATTGTTTGTTTTATAGGCCTGTCTGATCTTTGGCTGAAAGGTGGACTTCGGGAGTTGCTTCAGTTCTGAGTTAGCAGCGTGTCTGGGGGTCATAGTCTCAGGGGTTCCTCCAGTCTCTCTCAGAACGGTAAGTTTGGTCTTTTTTTGTGAATTGGAATTTTGTTCTACATTTTTCTCCTACTCTGTCCGGGACCGTCTATTGTGATCGCTGTCAGAGAGGTTGTTGGTGGTAGTCGGGCACCATCTATTTCTTCTAGGCTAAGTCCTTTTCGAGTTCATGGTCCGGGAATCCTCACCGTGGCCCGCACAGAGCAGGCCACCCAGAAACAGCCCCAGAGCAGGCCTGGCCCGGCCACAAAGCTCCTATGCAGCTGAACCAGGGCCCGGTGCATCCAGCTCCCATCCATGTGCCTCTCCTCCTGCTGGTCCACCTCCACAGCGGGCTCCTCTGAAGCACAAAAGTTCTCATTTTGATGAAGTCCAGCTTATCTATTTTTTTCTCTTGTCTCTCCTGCTTTTGGTGTTGTCTAAGAGCCCATTGCCGTCCCTGGGTGGTGCAAACATTAAACGCTCTCAGCTGCTCACCGAAAGATTATAGATTCAAGTCAATCCAGAGGCTCCTAAGAAGAAAAGGCTAGAGATCTACTTCCGAAAAATCAGCCGCTGAAAACTCTGTGGAGCACAGTTCCACTCTGACGCACCTGGGGTTGCCATGAGTGAGGGTTGACTTGACAGCAATGGGTTTGTTTTTTTTAATCCTTTGATGACCCAATTATTTTCTGGTTGTTTTTTTTTTTTTTTTTTTTGGTTGTGTGTATTTTCAGTATTGGAATGCATGCTTACCACTTGAGCATGTTTAAATTTTGGGTCGGTAGTATGAATTTTGAGAAAAATGATGTGGGCACATGTGTAACCATGAAAATCTGGGGGTCACGATTGGTGGGCGCCTGTCTGTCCCAGTGGGCATAGGTGGCAGGATTTATTATGGGCGTCTTCCATTTGGTTACATTAGGCACCTCTGGTTTTCTAATAAGACACACACACGCATGCACACACAAAACAGACCCACCAGAACTCCCTATCACCCCAAACCCATTGCTGTTGAGTCAATTCTGACTCATAGTGGCCCTATAAGACAGCACAGAACTGCCCCATAGGGTTTCCAAGGAGCAGCTGGTGGATTCGAACTGCCGACCTCTTGGTTAGCAGCTGAGCTCTTAACCACCGCACCACCAGGGCTTCTTACAAGTGATAGCTATTGTTGCTCAGTGCCGTCGAGTTGGTTCCAACTCATAGCGACCCTAGGTACCACAGAACCAAACACTGT